CAAGCCTTCTATATAACTTGGTTGACCAGGGATAAAGCTGTCTGAGAAAAAGGACTTCAGATGACTAATGTCACAGCTTCCAGAAGTCTGTTTTCTCCCCAAAGAAATACACTTCCTTGATATTTTCAAGGTCTGCTGAATTCTACATACCATGCTCAAATCACAGAGGAGCAGTTTCTGGAAGACGCCAGAGTGGAGAAAGAAGTCTTAGTCTGGAAGAGCCAAGACATGTCATCTTGGGTTATTTAGGGGGAAGGTAAGATGTATGTCTACAATGGTATTTGAATGGCAAAAGAGGTTTGCAATCTGCTGCTTACCTAAAGGCTGGTGGTTTGAACCTGCAAGAGAAAAGGCCTTGTGATCTGCTTCTAAAAGATGGCTCTGTGGAGTAGTTCTGCTCTGTAACACATGGGCTGTCAGGAATTGGAATCAATGCTACAGCTTCTGGTGAAATGCTGCTTATCGGATAAGGACTGGACTGTGAATCACAAGGACTGTGGTTCAAACCCACCAATCACTACTTGGAAACTCTATACAGGATTGTAGCAACCACTAAAGCCAGTGATGATGAAATTAAGAATTCTACCAATTTCTTCAGTCTGAAATTGATCAAAGATGTATTCATAATTATTGGTGACTAGAATAAGGTGGTTAGAAACAAAGAGGAAGGATCAGTAATTGCTGACATCAGATGGATCTTGGCTAAAAGTAGAGAATACCAAAAAGATGTTCGCTTGTGATTTATTACTATGCAAAGATTCTTGACTATGTGTATCATGAAAAACTACGGCTAACACTGTGAAGAATGGATACTCCAGAACAAAAGGGGATACTGAATGGTTTAAAATCAGAAAAGGTGTGTGTCAGGGCTGTATTCTTTCACCATACTTATTCAACCTATATGCTGAGCAAATAATCTGATGAAGCTGAATGAAAAGAGCATGACATCAGGATAGGAAGAAGACTCATTAACAACCTTTGATATCATCTGATACAACCTTACTTGCTGAAATGAAGAGAACTTAAAATACTTACTGGTGAAAATCAAAGACTGTAACCTTCATTCAGTATAACTCACACATCAATGTAAAGAAAGCAAAAATTCTCACAATTGGATCAATAAATAACATGATAAATGGAAAAAAGATTCAACTTGTCAAAGATTTCATTTTTCTGGGATCCACAATCAACACTCATGGAAACAGCAGTCAAAAATCAAATGATGTATTGCATTAGGTAAATCTGCTGCATAATAATCTCTTGAAAGTGTTGAAGAGCAATGATACCAGTTTGAGGACTAAGGTGTGTTTGACCTGAGCCATGGTATTTTCAATTGCCTCATATGCAAGTATAAATTGGACAATGAATAAGAAAAACTGGAGAAGAATTTATGCATTTAAGTTATGGTGTTGGAAAAGAATATTAAAAACACAGTGACTGCTAGAAGAACAAATAAATCTGTGTTGGAAGGAGTACAGTTGGAATGCTCCTTAGAAGCCATGATGGCAAGATTGCGTCTCTCATACTTGGGACATATTATCAGGAGTAACCAGTCCCTGGAGAAGGACATCACGCTTGATAAAGTGGAAGATCAATGAAAATCAGGAAGACCTCCAATGAGATGGATTAACACCAAGACAATAGCAATGGGCTCAAGCATAAAAATGATTGTGAGGATGGTGCAGAATCAGGCAGTGTTTCATTCTGTTGTGCATGGGGTCTCTATGAGTCGGAACTGACTTTATGGTACCTAACAACAACAACATAAGTTGGAACTGATTCAAAGGCACTTAACAAAAACAACTACAGCAATGGATTTGGTTGGTTGGTTGTTTTTACCTCCCTACTTCTATTTTCACGTATTTTGAAACTGATTACAGTATTGGTCTTTTTCTTTTTTGAGTCCATGGTCTATTTGACCCAATCTTATGACTAGATTATGAAATTGGGTTTTGCTTTTGTTTTATTATTGTTGTAAAGATTTATGTAGTGCCACATTCACCAATTAAACATTTATTATACTGTACAATTCAATGAACATCATACATGAAGAATGCAAAACGTCACTGAGAAGACAAGAAAGAAGGGAAAGGTCTCTTCTATGTCAGAAGAGACACTGAAACTTGCTCTCCAGCATAGAGATGCTAAAGCAAATAGAAGAAATGAGGAGGTCCAAGAGCTGAACAGAAAATTTCAAAGATCAGTTTGAGAAAATAAAGCCAAATATTACAACAAAATGTGCAAAGATCTGGATTGAGAAAACCAAAAAGGAAGAACACGCTCAGCATTTCTCAAGCTGGGAGAACTGAAGAAAAAAATCAAGCCTCGATTTTCCTTATTGAAAAATTCACTGGGAAAATTATTGAATGATGCAGAAAGCATTAAGAGAAGATGAAAGGAATACACAGAGTCACTGTACCAAAAGGAAATGGTTAATGTTCAACCATTTCAAGAGGTAGCATATGATCAAGAGCCAATGATACTGAAGGAGGAAGTCCAAGGCGCACTGAAGGAATTGGCAAAGAACAAGGCACCAGGAATTGATGGAATAAAAAAATGAAATCTTTCAAGAAAGTGAGGCAGCACAGGAGACACTCACTCATCTCTACCAAGAAATTTGGAAGACAACTATCTGGCCGACTGATTGGAAGAGATCCATATTTGTGCCCGTTCCAAAGAGAGGTGACCCAAAGGAATACAGAAATCATCAGACAATCTCTTTGATATCCCATGCGAGTAAAGTTTTGCTCAAGGTAATACAGAAATGGCTACAATCATACATTGACAGAGAACTTCCAGAGGTTCAAGCCGGATTCAGAAGAGGCAGTGGAACGAGGGATATCATTGCTGATGTCCAATGGATCTTGGCTGAAAGCAGAGACTATCAGAAAGATGTTTACCTGTGCTTTATTGACTACGCAAAGGCTTTCGATTGTGTGGATCATGACAAGCTATGGACAACATTGTGAAGTATGAGTATTCCAGAACACTTAATTGTGCTCATGAGGAATATGACCATGCACCAAGAGGCAGTTGTTTGAATAGAAAATGGAAACACTGAATGTTTTAAAATTTAAAAAGGTGTGCGACAAGGTTGTATTCTTTCACCATACTTATTCAATCTGTATGCTGAGCAAATAATCTGAGAAGCTGGATTATATGAAGAAAAATGTGGCATCAGAATTAGAGGAAGACTCATTAACAACCTGCGATATGCAGATGATACAACCTTACTTGCTGGAAGTGAAGAAGACTTAAAACATTTACTGATGAAGATCAAAGAGCACAACCTTCTATATGGATTACATATCAATGTAAAGAAAACAAAATTCCTCACCACTGGACAAGTAAACAACATTCTTATCAATGGAGAAAAGATTGAAGTTGCCAAGGGCTTCATTCTTCTTGCATCAACTATCAACACTTATGGAAGCAGCAGTCAAGAAATCAAACGATGTATTGCATTAGGCAAATCTTCTGCACAAGACCTTTTTAAAGTGTTGAAGAGCAAAGATATCAGCTTGAGGACTAAGGTGAGCCTGACCCAAGCCATGGTATTTTCAGTAACCTCATATGCATGCAAAATCTGGTCAGTGAATAAGGAAGACCGTAGAAGAATTGATGTTTTTGAGTTATGGTGTTGGAGGAGAAGATTGACAGTGCCATGGGCTGCCAAAAGAACCAGTGCAGCCAAAATGCTCCTTGGAGGTCAAGATGGCCAAACTTCGTCTCTCATACTTCGGTCATGTTGTCAGGAGGGACTAGTCACTGGAGAAGGATATCATGTTTGGTAAGATAGAGGGACAGGGAATAAGAGGCAGACCTCCAATGAGATGGATTGGCCAAGTGGCAGCATCGATGGACTCAAGTGAGGTTGGCCCAGGATCGGGCAGTGCTTCATTCTGCTGTGCATAAGGTCGCTATGGGTCGGTATGGACGCGGTGGCACCTAACAACAACAATTCAATGTGATTAATCACATTAATCATGCTGTGCCAGCATCATTTAAGTCCTTTGCCAAATTTCCTATAAAATAGGGCTTTAAAATGTGTTAATATGTGCCAATAATATGTACAGTTTTCTAGAGCTGAGATTCACCACACATTGAACTAGGGCTCCTGGGCCAACACAGATGGATGCTTTACTTGTTGACATTGTGCTTTTATTAAGTTACTGTCAAAACATCCATAATGAGGTGGTTAGGGGCTGTGTTAGGTATTATTATCACTTATAAGAGTCTATCAGCCACAGACCAAAGGGTAACCCACCTTCCTCCCTTATGCCTACTTTATGCCTGCAGGTTGAATAACGGTAATTTCAAACTACCCTCTTCTTTTTAAAAAATAACTTCCATTGCATCTAACTTGCTCCTCCTTACTTTTAGCACTATTCTTTAGACTCATATGGAACACGTTACCAAGGCTGTGTCAGAGATATGGAAGTCAACCTAACCTATCAACTCAAATTTATATTACTTTAATCCTTACACCTACTCCTTACTTACCAACTACCTCATTATCTAACATTCTGTGTTTATGAAAGTACTAACATTCTACTTTCTGGCAGTAATGAACAGAAAGATGTAAGGCAAGAGTAATTAATGCTGGCTGTGATGATTAAGGTTTTCTGTTAACTGGATTGGGCCATGATTCTCAGTGGTTAGGCAGTTATATAATGATATAGCCATTCTCCACTTTGAGATATGACTTTGTCAGTCTCCATATCTGCATAATGCTGATTTTTGCATAATGATCTGGTCTTTGGATCCTAACCATGTTGGTAAATGAGAAGTTGTTTTTGTCATTGTTAGTTGAGTCAGTTCCGATTCACAGCAACCCGGTATAGGGTTTCCAAGGAGCAGCTGCTAGGTTTGAACTTCGTGGTTCAAAGCCCAGTGCTGATCCGACAGCATCACATCCAGAGTTCAAATGAGGAGTGGGTATATTAATAACTTGACCAGAACCATTTCTCCCCAAACAGCCCACTCTCCCCTTGACTTACCTGCTCAGGGTACTTGCTCCCAACCAACTCTGCTACAGTGTTGAAGGAATCAGCATCTGGATAGTTCTTCGCCCCCATCTTCAGCTGAATGACAATTCTGGATCCACGAGAAGCCATTCTTGACATCATTTCTGCATCTTCCACTGTAATGCAGGCCGTTGGGATCTTGGGCACACCATCCTGGTATTCCTGAAGGCCTGTGTGAGGACTTGAGAAAAGAAGCCAAAGCTGAAATGGGTAAAAGTTATCTTTAAAATTTCCTATCTATTGACACATGACCTCTGCTGACCTTTGGCAGATGGTAGATGAGGTAAGTGATCAGCATTGGCTTATTTGCTTTTGATGTGAATGTAATTTTTTTTTTCCTTTTGGTAAAAATAATTTGGAAACTTCAATTTAATAGTATCAATGAAAACATCACATGCATTTATTTTTATAATTTAGATAATCCTTTAGAGTTTCAAAATGCCTTAGATTTTGAAGGACATTAGTAGTGCCCTCAAGACCAATAAGTAAACACATCTGTATGAGGAGACAAAGGGAGCTCAGGAATCCATTAAGTCTGCAGACCACAAGGCCTACTCATCAGGTGTAAAACTGTCCCAGATTCACCCAGCTGTATGGCCTGAACAGAGTCTACTCTCTTTCAACCAAACACAAAGGCTGAATACTTAGCTTCGCACTGATAGTAGAACACTGTGCAGGAAACAATGTCTGATGAAAAGTGCCACATAAACCCAGGCCAAGTTTTTACTGCCTTGAGAAAAAGAAAACTAATTTTGGTACTAAAAGAAAAGTATCACCTTGTCTGTTCAAAATGTCCCTGCTGTTTTCCAGATGTTTCTTACACTACTAGGAACACTTCTACAGCCCTTGACATCTCTGTTAATTGACCATTGATTCAGCCAGTGTACCTGCTAACCCACTTTATCAAACTAATTCTCAAAAGATGTTCTTTCAAAGTATCCCTGAGGTAGAGCTCCAAACTGTCCCAGACCCTAGTTTCCTCAGGGCCCAGTGGCCACAGATTCTGAGCATATACTATATCCTAATGGTCAATGTAAAGAAAACAAAAATCCTCACCACTGGACCAATAAATAACATTCTTATCAACGGAGAAAAGATTGAAGTTGTCAAGGACCTCATTTTTCTTGGATCAACTATCAACACTCATGGAAGCAGCAGTCAAGAAATCAAACGACATATTGCATTAGGCAAAACTGCTGCATAAAACCTTTTTAAAGTATTGAAGAGCAAAGATGTCAGCTTGAAGACTAAAGTGCACCTGACTCAAGCCATGATATTTTCAATAACCTCATATGCATGCGAAGGCTGGACAGTGAATAAGGAAGACCGTAGAGGAATTGATGCTTTTGAGTTATGGTGCTGGAGGAGAATATTGAAAGTGCCATGGGCTGCCCAAAGAACAAACAGATCCGTGTTAGAAGAAGTGCAGCCAGAGTGTTTCTTGGATGCCAGGATGGCCAAACTTCGTCTTTCACACTTCAGACATATTGTCAGGAGGAACCAGTCGCTGGAGAAGGATATCATGTTTGGTAGGGTGAAGGGTCAGCCAAAAAGAGGAAGACACCCAGCGAGATACATTGGCCAAGCGGCAGCATCAATGGACTCAAGCATGGCAAAAATAGTGAGGTTGGCCCAGGATCAGGCAGTGTTTCTTTCTGCTGTGCATAAGGTCGCTATGAGTTGGTACCGACTCGATGGCACCTAGTATCAACAACAGTGGTCTATTCCCATCTTCTGTTAAAGCATCAACTCCATCAATTCCCTTGTAAAAGTAATGTTTCTTTTTCCTGTTTCTAATTGTTTTCAGTTGTCTCATATTACAAAACAGTCTTTCTCCTCTAAGTCACAACACATTTCTCTCCTTGTACAGATGATAGTTTGGTGCTCCTCCCCCACAGAAGTGATTTCAACGCCACATGCACAAGCACAAGGATCAGTCTTCTCTATCACTGCATTCTTGATATCATTACACTGTGGTGACCATATTTCAGGTGAATTTTTCTTTTGTTAAGTTACCCTCCACAGCAGTGGTTAAAGATCTGAACACTGGAGATGACTGCCTGGGTTCAAGTAGGGGCTCTGCCATTTACTGCTAACTGGCCTTGGGCAAGTCACTCACATCCTGGCTTCAATGTCTTCATCTATGAATGGCACCTATAATAATTGTAATACCTGTTTCAAAGAGTTTTTTACAGTTCCATTAATTTATACAAGTAAAACACTTACCCTGACATACAGTAAAAATTTAATAATTTTAAAGTATTTATTTTATTACATTATCCTTACAGAGAAAGACAGTCTAATTTCAAATCCTTCGTACATAAGGTACGTAAGGTACATAGTGCAATTTGAAAACACTTTAAGGACATTTCTTAAACATTGGTTGGATAGTTCCTTCTTCATTAACAGTAAGACAGATGGTGGCTAAAGCTAGAGCTTGTAATACAAGGACCTGGAATCTGAATCCTTGCTCAAATAATATTCCTACTTCAGGATAATTTGGGGTTCAGGGCAGGCTCTGGAGCCATAACCTTGGGCAGATCTTGGTTCTACTTATTCTCTACCTGTAGGACAAAAAGTAACTCCAATTATTGCTCTGCTTCAGTTACCTCATCAATAAAAGGGAGAAAATATGAATATTGGCCTCATAAAATTGCTAAGGGGAGTAAAAGAGATAGCAAGTGGCAAGAATTTAAGACAATTATCTGCCACACAGTAACTATTCAGGTAGTTACTTAGTGCTAATTTTTCCCACTGAGCTGGTAGGGTGATGAGCAACTAACAAGTATCTTGACATGTGTAGGAGGACAATCAAATATTTATTAGACATGTTACCTTATGTCCTGGTGTGGCACTGTAGGACAATCACAGGAATCATAACCTAAGATCAGCGGTCTAAGCCTACTAGTGCTTCTTGGAAAACCTACACAGGACCTCTGTGTCAGAACCAACTTGACAGCACTTAACAACCACAGCAACCTCATGTGACATCTAGGATCCAACAAACTCTCCTTGTCTTCAGATTCTCTTATTCAAGAGGTCAATATGACATGTCTTAACAAAGCTCTTTTAAATGATGTTTCTACACTAATCTATATTCATAAGTGGCAGGTTATGGAGGGCAGGCACATACTCAGGGCTTCACTAAGGCAAATGGTACTGAAAGCTATCATCCAAATATAGTTCTGAATTCAAGATACAAAAACCTTTTAATTTCTCCTGCAGTTAAGCGTGTTTTATAGCGGTGAGGCATTCATCATTGTTTAGAGTAGGGAGCAAAATCAAGACTCACCAGTTTTTAGAGTCATTCACTTTCACCGCACTAGAAAGTCAATTGTCCTAGAGGGCACAATCAGCATATATACCACTGTGTGACTTCATTTACAGTCCCTGCCTGCCTTTTAACATCAGCAGCGGCTAAATTTCAAAGGAAGCCATCAAAAATCAAAGAAGAACATTTAAAATTAATACCAATCTTTCATAAGCAACTCCAATTAGAAATAATCAATTTAGCAAGGTTGTAGAATACAGCCAGGTGCTCTGGTAAAGTAGTGGTTACGAATCAGGCTGCTAATCTCATGGTCAGCAGCTTGAAACTACCAGCTGTTCTGCAGGAAAAAGATGAGGCTTTCTGCTCCCATAAAGATTTACAGCCTTGGAAACACTGTACAGGGTCGCTATGAGTCAGAACAGACTCCACGGCACATAGCAACAACATAGAATACAAGATCAATAGAGAAAAAAATCAACTTTCCAGACAGTAGTAATCAACAATGTCTGAAGTGAATTAAGAGAACAATTCCATTTATAATGAAAATAATAATATTTTTGGAGTTGGATAACAAAAGAAGTTTGAAAAAGTAAGACCAAGGTTGTTATGTGACTGGCATAAGGTTTCCCAATGAAATTCTCACAGGACAGCCCTTGCTACCCTTGAAGAATAAGCAGATGCATTGTGATGGAAAAAATTTCTCAGGGCAACTTTCCTGGTCTTTTTCTCACCACTGTTGTTTCAATTTTCTTACATTTTCTTCATAAAAAGCCCCTGAGATCATCCTGTGTATCCATGAAACTCTATCAAGATGACACCTTTTGAATCCCCAAAAAACTCACTGTAAGTTTCAATAGCACCTAACAACAACATAAACTTCTGAGCTGACCTGTCAACCTTGAATTCATTTTTGAGATCTTCCCAACCTTCCTTAAAACACTTGGACCATTAAAAAATTAGCATGTTGTATGGGGCAATATTCCTGCTAACTTGTTGCAAAGTTTCAGTGATTTAGGACGATGCTCACTTGAGCGCTGTTAAAAATTTGTCTTTAACTTTGATCTCGAAATCATTTTCCATGACACAAAAACTACCAATGAGTTTAAGGTACCCAAAGGAGATGAAGATGAATATATTACTGAAAATCTTGTCTGTAGCCATCCACTCATCACATATTGTTATGTTGCTAGTGCTGCTCAATTGATTTCGACTCAGAACAAGAGAATGAAACACTACCCAGTCCTGAGACATCCTCATAACTGTTGCCATGTTTGAGCTCATTGTTGTTATCACTATGTCAATCCATCGCAGTAACGGTCTTCTTTGTCACGGACCCTCCACTTTACCAAGTAAGATGTACTTCTTCAGGGACTGATCATTCCCGACAACATGCCCAAAATACAAGAGACGAAATCTCACCTTCCTCCTTTTCAAAGTTCAATCTGGCCATAATTCTTCCAAAAGAGATTTGTTTGTTCTGGCAGTCCATGGTATAGCCAACATTCTTCACCAACACCATAATTCTATTTTTTTCAGTCTTCCCTATTCATTGTCCAGCTTTCTCATGCATATGAGGTTTGGGTCAGGGACACAAACCTCAAAGAGACATCTTTGCTTCTTAACACTTTAAAGAAATTTCGTGCCAAAAATTGGCCTAATGCACTATGTTGTTTGCTTTCTTGACAGCTACTTTCATAAGTGTTGATTGTGGATACAAGTAAAATGAAATCTTTGACAACTTCAATCTTTACTCTGCTTATCATGATGTGACTTATTGATCCAGTTCCGAGGCTATTCCTTTTCTTTACGTTGAGGTGCAATCCATACTGAAGGCTATAGTCTTTGGCCTTCGTTAGTAAGTATTTCAAGTCTTCTTAGCTTCCAGCAAGCAAGGTTGTGTCATCTGCATA